ATGCAACACTCCACCCCCACCCCCACCCCTCCGATTTTAAACAATGCCATTCAAAAGAGGAGATCGAGAGAAGGATCAATTTCCAGAACTGGGGCCTCTGAAAATAAAGGGCCAACACTTTTTTTTTGCGCACTTGTGGCGTTCCAAGTGCGCGCAGGCAGTCTATGTGTCAAAAAAAATAAAATAAAATCTGATTTTCCATAGATGTAAATAGTATAGCCAGAATATAGTACAGAGGATAAACAGACCACCATATTGAAATCAATGGTTATTTCGTGGCATGAACTGTGTCTTTTTAAAAATATTATCCTGCACATAGAGTAGGATTAAAAAATGCCCTGTATATTTCATACGGCAAAGAAATAGTTTTAATTAAACCAAAGGTTGCCTGAAATGGGGGTGGGTGGGTGGGTTTGTGAATAGAAGTGCCTGGCACTTGGGCCTCTAACATATTCAAGTCCACAATGTATTGCAGCTTCCATACATTTGCATTGGGAAGGAGTCCTTTTAGCCTCGGGCGCCCCTTAAATGGGATCCGGTTTATTGTGGCCCGGGCTTTTGTGGCCTAGAGTCCACTGGATCAGGATGGAGTCCATCAGACCTACCCCCCAAAAGCTATCCCTCTTTCAGGATCTCATAGGTATGCCAAAACTCCGCGTCAAAATGAAGTCCCTGTTGGAAAATCCTGAATATTTTCCAAAGACCAGTTAAAGTCATGTCCCAGTTAAAGTCATTGTGGGCTGCAAGGCAGTCCCTAGGGTTGACCACATATTGAGATCAACAGATAAATATTCTTTCCCCCCCTAATTATTATTTTTTTTTGTCCTCTGTCCCTTTTCTTTCCAGGCCCCAAAACCAGCTTGATGCAGCTATGGTTCTATCTGCGTTGTCATCATCCTAGTTGATTATTTTTTAAAATTATTGTTCTAATGACTGTAAAATACAAATTCTCTGTATAGTTAATGACTTGTACGCATGCCCATGTATTAAATGAGAAAAAAAAAGACAAAAACCAAGGGGGGGGGGACTGCTTCTGTACTATCCATCTGGGTTAGCTGAGTCTGTGAGGTTTTTTGAAAGTCCAGTGCAAAATAGGAGTCTTTAAATTTTTTTGTATATATAGTAAAAAAAAATGTACATATGTGTGAAACAAATTGTACAAGAAAGTATATATTTTTGGCTAATAAACTGTTGCCACTTTGACTACACTTTTCTGAGATGCAATGGAATTATTATTATTATTAGCATTATTATTATTAGCATTATTATTATTAGCATTATTATTAGCATTATGATGATGATGATGATGAATTGTCACAGTCAGATATTTGACTGGCAGATGATGTTCTGCTGTTTGAAATCTAGCCATGTTTTAGGAACCGCACATGTAGCTTTGCATTATTATTATTATTGTTATTATTATTATTATTATTATTATTATTATTATTATTATTATTATTATTATTATTATTATTATTATTATTATTATTATTATTATTATTACTACTACTACTACTATCATCACCATCATCATTACTATTACTATGATCTGTCACAGTCAGATGTTTGACTGGATATATAATTCACGATGTAGATGGTGTTCTATAATTCAAGATCTAGCCAAGTTCTTGGGAATTGCAAAGGGACCTTCACAGGATTCTTGCTGGTAAAAGCAGGCAGTGTCCTCTGGTGCTGAGCCGGTGTTATGTGTTCGAAGCCCAGGATGGCCAGACGTTGAGACATTTTTACTATTGTTACTATTATTATCTTGGCTTTTTAAAATTGTTTAGCTAGTATTTAAAAAAAAAACGCTGTGGATACAGACATTTGTTGAATTTAGAGGTTGCTAAATTTAGGTCTTGCCCTTTCCCAAATTTTTTTAAACGGTAGGGACAGGGTGTTCTCAGGAAGCATATGGATTCGGGGCTGAGAAAGCAACATGAATGTGTGTGGGGGGGGACAACGAGGAGGCTTGTCTAAGACGAATCCCTTCGATATAGATAGGAAGCCGGTTTGTTATAGCAAATCTTTTCTCTCTTTTTTTGCAAAAAAAAAAAAAAAGTATCGCGGTTTTGTTTTGTTTTCGGAACTACCCTTTGCCCTCCCGAACTATAAACTTCGCCCCGTTAATGGAGCGTCTTTGAAAGGAAGGGCTTCTGGTTTCAGATGCCTCTCTTGACTCCGAAGTTCTGAGCTGAACTTTAAAAAAAAAAAAAAAAAAACCGCCGCAGCCCGGTTTGCAGGCCAGCCGAGGTCCTGCGTGTCTCCCGGGGGACTTGCAATGGGGTTTTGCAAACCGACCGCTCGTTTATGGATCTGAGACAGCTGCTTTGGCTGAGTCCAGCCGCGGTTCTTCTTCTTCTTCTTCGCTGTCCTGTGCCGGAGGGAAAGA